AATAAATTTAATAAAGCATAATATCTACAATACTGCAGTAGAACACCACTCCAAAACCTGACTTTATAACTAGGTAAGAGCTATAGAAAACCTGGCAGCAAGTAACTCTTAAAGTTCTAACGGGGGGAGAGGGGGGTTCAGACAAAGACCACAGTTATAACAGGGGAAGTATCCTGACAGTGAATGCAAATACTAACATTTTAGAAAAGGAACTTAAATATTTACATAGTAAGGGGTCTGAATAAATGGTATCATGGAACAATTCCTTGCAGAATCAAGAGATGGGTATGCATTTTCACATGTTAGACTACAGAGCATGCTCACACATATGTATGCACACATATACACAAACACATATAACAAAAGTGTTACAGAACCACTATCCTTATCTGTGAAATTGTTTAATATTTTCTGCTCTGTTCCACCTTTTTAATTTAAAAAATGATTAGTTGTGACTATGTCAATAAGGAGAGGCAGAAGGTAAGGGAGGTGGAGAATGGAGGCATGGATTCCGTTCCATAAAGAGTGATTGGCAATATCTAGGCATATTTATGGTTGTCCTAAGTGGACTGAAATGTTATTGGCACCTAGGAGGCAGAGGCTAGTGATGCTGAGAAACACTACAGTGCATAAAACAGTCTTAAAAAATACACAATTGTCAAGACCCAACTATCAATGATGATGATTAAAGAAGAAAATAAAAATAATAAAGCAAAAAGTGCATTGTAAAGTTTATGAAAAACATTCCAAACTTTGAGAATAGCACTAAAAGTTAAATTCAGAGACACTATGGAATTAGCATTAAAGATTTATCTTAATCAGTTTGTGATTGCCTAGATGAACACAAATAGGGTAGATACTTTAACATTCTGAAAGGTAAGCATATCACATTGAACTAAGAAATGAGTGTTATAAGACAAATGGTGTATGGAAAAAATCAGTGTATAGCAGCAATGACTCTTCAGAAGTCTATGTATCTAGTAATTCTATTCTTAATTTCTTGAGGTGAGAAAGAATGCTATTTACCTCTACTTTCTCGACTGGATCCAATCCAACACCTTCTAAATAATAGGCACGGAAAAAGTTCTTGGCAGAAAAATGAGAAATAGATGCTTTACATATATTGAGGCAATGAATTATATTTCAAAAGTACACCTCACCAATTAAAATAACAGTGCATCCTTCTTAAACAGCAATGAGAAGGCTTAACACAGGGCAGATCCTGGAAGAGGTGAAATCAACACAATCCACATAACCACAATTACATTTTCATTCAAAATGCTGGAGAATCACCTTGTACAATTCTTCACAACTACAGAACATGAAATACGCAATCTAAAAGTAATCAGAATATCAGCTACTTGCTAATTATGGTTTGTGTGTATTTGGACAGTTTTGTCTGATTTCTTCAGTAACCAAATTACAAAAAAAGAAAAAGAAAAAGAAAAAAAGAAAAGAAAGAAGGAAAAAGAAAAAAGAAAAAGGAAAAAAGCTAGTATTCTTATTCACAGATTTATAGATAAGAACTTCGACCTAAGTGTTTTAGATTCATTTACTTTATTTTATTTTATTTATATGGTTATCTTGCCTGAACGTACGTATATACACCATTGTGTGCCTGGTGCCAGCAGAAGCCAGAAGAGGACATCAGATAACCTAGACTGGATTTACAAATGGTTGTAAGCCACCACATGGGTGACAGGAACTGACTTAGGTCCTCTGCAAGATTTGCTAAGCATCTCTCCAGCCCCAACCTAGAGTGTTCTGGAACACAGAACAAGATTATATACTCAGTGAATAACACACCCAAAATCAAAACTCTTAGACTGAGCAAGGGATGCATTTTCTCTTAAACACCCCTTTCACTTTTAAATAATAAAAAGCCACTAACAGGCTATAATTATTAAACCACTTAAAAATATAACCAAAATGAGAGTCTAAAATATGAGTGAAATTCTATGTATTTCAATAGTGTAATCTAACCTAAGTAGTGTGTTAATGTTAAAAGAATCTATATATTAATAAAGTCTAGGAGAAAAGACCACCCAAAAAGAAAGCAAAATTTAAAAATATCAAAATCAAAGCTTGTTTTAAGTGTAAGAGGAATATTTATCATGAAAACAGCAAGAATATATTCTATATAGTAGACACTCACGTACTAAGGCTTGGCAAGAAGCATTCTACATTGATAGAGGTTATGCTATACATACATGACTAGATTAAAAAAATAAATTAGACTACTTAGCCCAAATTTGCCTTGCAAAGATCTGAGAATTGATGTATTAAAATAAAAAAAAATTAGAAGAAACAGAAAAAATAAAGACAATGAAGAAACTAGCTATGATGTAAAACACATTCTTTAGAATTACTTAGCCTAGAGTGACGAAAAGAAAAGGATGGTTATCTTTGAAAATATCACTGATTCTGATCAGAATGATGTCTCCACTAAAATTTCTAAGAAAAAAAAAGTGTGTTCAGAAGCTGCTAATAGAATTCTTTTTAGTTATTAAGGGGAAATGACATGCACTAGTTAAACACCAAGCAAGACTATGAACTACAATGTTGGATTATGTTTATAAATTGCTTACTTCTACATTTGATACTTTTTGACAAATAAAACTGTTACCATAATGATGCAACATTAAGAGAGGATACAAGCATCTTCTCAGAAATTTCTAGTCTCAACAGCTACCATTTCTTCTTACTACTCTAATATTGAATAACTATCCAACAGGGAAAATTATATTATTTATATTTCTCCCAACAAAATTGAAAGTATGATTGTGCGTATGAAGTGTCTATTAGCAGAAACTGTACTTTGTAAGAAAAATTACTAAATAGGCAATAAGTAGGACGCTGTACAAGAGTAGGTCCTAGGACTCAAGTTAGAAGAGAGCATAGATGTGAGTGACAGTAAGTTTCTTCCTACATATGATGCATGTTGGACTTGTGCTTACAGTATCATGTATGAGTTTAACAAACATATAGGTAATTCATGGACAAATAGTGCTACAATGCCATCACACAGAAATCTTCCAAGCATCGCAGTGAAGCACCTCTGTCAGTTTTGTTCGGATAAATTCTTGTTCAGTAAATGAAGGCATCATTATAGCAAAGAATAAGCAAATCATCGAACAGATGGAATAGAAACCAAACCACCAAAAATAACTGTTAGCATTTGATAAATTAGCATCATAATAAATACCTTACCAAATATGGAAAATTATCATTAGTAAATATACTTAAAGACTATTTCTTAAGGAAACTAAAATTTCTACATATTCTTTAATAAAACTACAGTTCTCTTTCAGAAGTTACATTTCTATTAACTCAATTTTCTCATGGCTCACAATTATAAGTAAAAATTATTAAATAAGGCTGTAACTTACTTTTGCAAATGCACATGCATTTCCCAGAGCCATTTGCTTAAAAGTTTATGTCCTCTTTTCTACAATAGTGCCTTTAGATATTATTATTAATGGCTTTTTAATATACCACATTAAATCCACTGATCTGTCAGATTTTCTATCAAGCCACACTTAAAATTATTTTTACTTTTTAGTATCTGGCAAAAGTAACTTTTCCCTCACAATTCTTAATGATTGTTCTATAACTGCTAGCTTTATAAAACAGGGCTCTGTAAGAATCCAATTGAGACTGAGCCTATTACTAACTTCATGACACTGTTTGTTACGTTTCATTATAGTATTTAGTCTTCCTAAACAGAAATATGAAAGAATCTCTACTCTTACCATGTCTTGGTAAGAATTTATTAAATTACAGGGGTTTTTTGGGGAGTTTTGTTTTGTTGTTTGTTTTTTAGTTTTATATAAGAACTACTTTTGATTTGTATTTTCTAATCAATTACTTATGCTACAGTATAAAATCACTATATTAATTTTCTATGACTTCATTAATTCCTCTGCATATTACTGTTGATTATTCTAAAAAAAGAAAGAAAAGGACTATCTACTAAATATTATGACAGAATTGGAAGGCAGGAGAAGCAGAAGCTGACATGAAGAATTCATGTTAGATACTCACCAATCTCATACACTTTACCATATGTCAAAATAAATTCCAGAAAAAGTCAATGGTCAAAAATAATTTAAAGAAGAACATATATATCTAATTATTTAGTAGATTTGGAGATGAATAAAGAATGTCTAAGGATGGGCATAATGTAAAAGAATGTCAACAAAGGAAACTCAACTGTAGCTGTATCCCCAAATGATCAAAGGAAATTAGTAGACAAGCATCCAAATAGGAAACAACTTCAACAAAATAACAAATAATTAGACAAAATCCCAATATACAAAAAAAAACCTCTTACAAATTAATAAGAGAACACTAGTAAATATGCAAAAGGAATTGAACAAGAATATTGTTTATATGGCATTTAGAAGAAATTTCTATACCTTAAACAAATATTTAGTTCATAATATACCCTTATGATAGAACAAGGTGCAGTCACTTAAATTTCTAATGAATATGAAATGACTTGAAAATAAAATTATAGGACAAGAATTAAAAATGATACGAAGTTATTTATAGTGTGATAATTTATCAATCTGAAAACACTACATTCAGAGAAAAAGGTCTAAAACCTAAGTATAACAGCAGTTCTTTCTTAGGAAAGGGATATGGTGGCATTTCATTCTTTAAAATACTTGAGCAATGTTTCAAGTGTTCTATTGTAAACGCATTCCTACTTTTATAAAGGAATGCAAAACTGTTACTTCTCAAACTAGAACTCATAAATTCACGTATGTTATCTAATAATACTAGGAAGCCTTCAGAAATCAAGAAAGCCTTTTTTTAAACAGCTTTTTTATACAAGGATTACAAGGCACTCCGTTTTTATAGTGTAGGATTTCTCACATGGCCAACACCTTAAAATACTTCAGTACAAGCAGAAATAGTACTGGATGTTCAATCCAAAACTCTCACAAAAGCCAGGTCTGCAGGGCCGCGCGCAAGGGATGTGTGGCAGAGCTTACCTTTCTCGCTCACACTCTCGCTCTCAATCTCAACATCATCACAACTCGTGTATTCGGGCGTGGACGCCAATTCCTCCTCCGAGCTGCTCAGGGAAACCTGGCGCATTTTACCCCCTTTCTTCGATTTATGAGGCTTTGGTGGCGGGGGCCTCACCGACTCCGACTGGTCGGAACTCAGGGAATCATTCCTTAGCATGGTTTCCATTTTTTCCCGTTTCGTTTTCCGGACGGCAGAGCTAGGGTCTAAGTGGTGCTGTTTGCGCAGAGAGTCCGCACGCCTCATGTCCAGTCTATCCACGGGTATGGGGCTCCTACGGGGGGTAGGGGGACTATGATTTGTGGTCCTTTGTGGGTAAGAACTTGGTCCCTGAGCCTCTCGAGTTCTTTCCATTGAGTAAGATCGTTGGTTTTCCATCGCAGCTCTTCGTTCAGATACAGATCTTTGTCTTGACGGTCGGTCCATCCTCAGCAGAGAAATCCTGGAATCTTCTAGCTCAGCGTTTGCCAAGGACACATCGCTGTGCCTTCTCTCGTGTCGCGCTCTGGACACTTCAGCGTGGATCCGCATTTGTTCTTCATAGGGCTGTGGCTTTACGGGATACCGGGCCAAATTTGGATCACTTCTGTACCGTGCCTGGTACTCCTCCTCCCTCCTCTGTCTTTCATATTCGTCCCTGCTCTCCACATCCTCATCATCTACAATATACTCTTTGGAATGTCTATGGGCTCTCCTGTTAGAATCCCTGTAATTTAAGTGATCAGGTTCTTCATAAAACTGAGGTTCACGCTGAGGTCGTCTGTCAGCATAATCTGATGGAGATCTAGGCATTGTGCTATCTGAAGGAACATACTGTGAGTACTCCTCTCTCTCTTCACTCTGGTCGTATCTGCGATTTTGATCCCTGGATACCGATGGACTTCTTTTCCTAGAAACCAAAGAAAAAGACTATGAGATGACATTTAAGTGGGTTTACACTTCACTGATTCATTGCCAGGTGGATGAATACATTCTGGTAGATCATTTTTCTTGTGAAACACATAGCTTAAAAATACTGTAATATTACAATATTAACCTATACAACACCGTGTGCCTATGTGTGCCTGTATATGCACACATGTGTCATGCAAGTACATGCTATAGAACATCCGATTTACTTGGGGCATTGTTTTTATACAATAACTAAGAAAAATCCATTATAAGTGTATATCATGAAAATTACACTGTACCTATTGGATCTGATTTATTAGCTATACTTATTGCACCTAATCTTGGAGAGTATGTATTTTCAAAAAGAAGACATGTTTTATTCACTTTGATTGGAATGATCTCAACAAGCAGATATTGGGTAAGTACTAATGTTGCACACTGAATTATCAATAAGGAACACATAAACGAATGCAACATTATCATCCCCAATCTTAAGATGACGAATGACTGACAGCAAACCTTCATCAAGTTAATTTGTTTAAATGAAAGCTTAAAGTATTAAGGATTTCTAGTAGAATATTATCAAATTATGTTTAGTATTACAAAAGTACTAAAAGACAACATGAAAGTTTTGAAAGTAGAAAGTAAATAGTCTTCTTAATAGAAGATTTTAACTAAAAATAAGAAAATTTACCTCCCATTATTCAATTCCAAAAGAAAAGATCATTAATACACAGTCCCTGGCTAAAACATCTAAGTGTGTTTTTTTAATCATTCTATAGAAGACATAAGTTCAATATTAAAATAACAATCACACTGTTATAATGATTACTACTTAAGTCCATTGGACTTAAGTAAAGTGGAATAGGGGTTGATATCTGAAATTGGTAGGATTATTGGCCCTGTTACTTAAAATAACACTTGAAGAACAGTACACTTTAGTATATTAAAACACTATCAAAAGCCAGATAACATTCCACTGTACCATTCTTGAAAATAAATAATCTACTATCAGTTACTCTGACATATTAATTTTGTGACAAGTAAATAGCTGCCAATTACATCATGAATCATCTCATACACACTGCCTCTTATTTTTTATTTTTTTATTATTTATTTATTTGGCTTTGGCTTTGACTTTTCAAGACAGGGTTTCTCTGTATATCCCTTGCTGTCCTAGAACTCACTCTGGCCTCAAACTCACAGAGAACTGCCTGCCTCTGGCTCCTGAACACTGGGATTAAAGACATGCACAACCAATGCCCAGCCTGTCTCTTAAATTTTAAAATCTCTATGTTCTTAGCACCTAGTATATTTCCAAGAATGAAAAAAAAAAAAAACTCCATTAAAATTCAAATGTTTAATCTGTAGGTTGGTATCCAGCCTGCATAAAGCCTTATAAAATAAACATTAGTTTTTGTTAATCTCAGGGGGGAAAAATGACAAGCAAAATAAATGATAATGTGCACATTTCTCTAAAAGAATAATAAAGCATTTAATAATATTCAATCCATAAGTCACAATTCAAAGCAATTTACCTAGGAAGTCCTATGTAGTCACTCAAAGATTCTGAGGAATTAAGAGAGACATGCCAAAGGTACACCTTTTTTCTAATAAAATACATGGGATCATTAAGTTTTCTCTCTTGCATTCTGTTTATTTCTGTTTCCTGATATGACAATACCAGTACTTAAATTCCCTTTATTTCCACTCACCACTTCCCATTATTAAACCTATATGATTAAAATTCTCTTTCTCTTTGACCCTATTAAAGTTATGTTAACAGGAACCCATTAACAGAAAACACACTTGAAAGATCCTGTGTCTATCTACCTTACCATGCAGCATCTGTCATTGCTTCGAATTTCTAGTCAGGTAGACTAACTTTCCAGGCTGCTTCTAAATAGTCTTTATAGTGCATCAGATGTTCCATTATAAATGTTTATCTGACTATGCATAAAAAATTTGAATAAGAAAACATATCAACTATTTGAAACTTCATGTCTGTAAGTAAAATCATGGTGATTGATGAGAAAATCCAATAATAATGATAATAATAATATAATAATGATGATTTTTCCAAATCATAAAGGCAGTTTCAGTTTATATATTGCATATTAATTTCTTCTTGCTGTTATAATTCCCATTGGCTTTTTAAATGGCTTGTGTTAACGATACCACTATAATGATGACCATATTTGTCAATTAATATCAAATCTCTGAAAATAGAGCAGTAGACATTTGAAAACATATAAAAGGCCAATAAGAGAACACATGAAAAAATTGAGCCTTAATGGTATATGAGCTAATGGTATATGAAACTTTTAAGAATCTCAGTGACACGGAATGTCATTCTATATACTTGAATTTTATATTATTACAACTTAGCACTAGCTATATGTTCCAATAAATATCTTATTGGTAAAGATTATTTAAGGACAACCATTATATAAATAAAATATATTGAATAACATTTTAAAAAATCAAAAATCAGAAAAGAAACCACCATCTTTTTACATTTAATAACTGTCATTTTAAAAATGAAAGACTATGTAGGTGACATTCCAAGATTCAAAATCTGAAATGATACTCTCATCTTTTTAAATGCTTTGTGAAACATGGATATTGCAAAAATAAATACTTCATGAATACAAATATATAATGCTAACTACATAGTTTAGATTAAACATTGCAAAGTCAAAATTCAAAGCTCATAAACTATAGTACATCATGAATTTAACCAAATCTATGATCATGTGTAACATGCAATATACACGTCCCATGCCTATAATTCATTTTTAAAAAGCTTAACAGATCAATTTATATTCGTAAAAAGCATTAAAAAATTTTATGCGTCACAATGAATATTTACCATTTTTATTTTTACCTTGGTTCAACCAATGGACATCTGTCAGGAAAGAGGCCTCATGCTGATGAAAACACATCAACATTATGCCAGGCAGTGCTTTCTCTTAATCCTTCTAACCCTAGCAGAATCATAGGAGCCATCCTTAATCAGACGATTTGAATGACTTGCAATCATTTTAGCACAAAACTCAACTGCTGAAAGTTAAAACAGCTTTCATTCGAGGAGGACACGGTAAGACGCTGCAGCGGTAGGCGTGTTAATGAAAGGCTGTTTTAATGCTGTCACTGTGCGACTGTATATAGATACAGGTCAAGTAAGAATGCCCTCTAAGAAGGATTATGGTACTTAGCTGATTACTCTGATTACTGCCTCCCAATACTGAACCACACACAATCCGGATCCAAGGCATTTCTGGTCACTATACTTAAAACTGGCAGCTTTACAAATTTATGGACCACTTTCCCCTATATAAATTACACTTCTGTCATTTTAACAATTCTTTTCAATATTTAATTAAATTTTTTAATTGAAAGACAATGTCCACACCCCCAAAAAATTAAAAAATGAAGTTTAAAGGAAATTCATTAAAAAACAAAACAGTATCCTGCAAACTAAGAACTTAGCTAGACACTGGGTATAAATCCAATTTTATTCATTTAATTTATAATTTAAACATTTCCATTTCATTGCCTAAAGTCTTTTACCCCCAAAAATGAAGACAAAAACAGTACCGTTTCCTTACAGTCCAAATCCAATCAGCTAAAAGTTAATGTTATACCTTTGAGAAACTGCACCTAAATCATGGCAAGTAATTTCTATAATATACGAATAGGGCAATGGTTGAGGAGTGAGCAAAAAGACAGGGTTATGCTGTTCAATAGTCTCCCAGTCATTAGTCTAGGAATATATGGTAGCACAAGTCAATCATTTGTGCATTACTTATCTCATTTTCTTCTAGAATTAGGATAAGTCTTAGAAGCATTGAGGGAGAGGTAAATAGAGATAATGGAGTGATTCTCTTTTTCTCTTGTTTTGGTTTTTGTGACAGGGTATCTACATAACCCTGGATGTCTTGAAAGTCAGTATGTACACCAAGCTGGAACTCACAGAGATCAAGCTGCCTCTGCCTCCCCAGTGCTTGAATTAAGTGCAACCACCAGACCTGGCAACAGTAATTTTTTTTAAAAACCTGTAAGTGCCTAATAAAGATCTGTAGAATCTTCCAAGAGAAAGGAATGAAAATTCAAAATAATTATTTTCCAAGAGGATATGAACTAACGATAAAACACAACCAGATGGAAGCCACAGTTCATACCAAATAAAACAACCAATTTCCCAAAAGCATATTTTGCTTCTTCCAAATTTCTAAGTGTAGAAAATTTCACAACATTCCAATTGCTAGATTAATATCAAACTTCCTCTTATTGGCTATTCCTTCCATCCCCTTTTCCTACATTCTTCGTTAGGTAAAGTCAGGTAGGGTTTCACTATGTAGCCTGGGTTGGCCTCAACCTCCCACCCTGACTGCACCACACTAAGACACAGAGTGCTGGACTTACACCAGCCCTGGCTTAGAGACATTCTTTGTCTTTGCTAAGTTCTACCTTTCTCAAGAAGGCAGAGCCTGACCACCCAATTAAACATGTCAGCTGCATCGTCCATGTAGGTGATTCTGGTTAAACTGCTTGACTTTTTCATGTCTTTAGCCACTTATAGTCATCTAATTATGACATTTAAAAATTTTTTGTCATACTAATTATGTCAAACAGCCTGACATTTAACAGCAGGACAGTCACTGGGAAGGGAAAAGAATGAAGTACAAAAAATAATTCACTATTACATTTGGTGTCCGCAATATTCTTTCTAGCTGGTGGTTTTTCCATTTGGCCTATGAGATTTGTGCAGAAGTTTTCTGTGAGGTAAACTGGGGTGGGTACCCTTACGTATTTGCTTCTTTTCTCTTGCTGCCTTCAGAACTGCCTGTTACTCACTGGCAGATATAGGGTTAAGTTGATTTATCAAAAGAACTAGGGGTGTAGGGGAGGACAACACCTACAGTTTAAATTTCCTAAAGCCTGGCCATCCCTGAAATGTCATTCTCCACCACCTCTTGCACACGCTGACTCGAG